GATGTGCCCCCTGAGAGCGACTGGCGGCGTGACTCCGACTACAGGACTCTCCAACCCAGCTCCTCCCGGGACCCCCGCACTGTTCGCCACCCCCAGACCCTTCAGCGAACCAACCAGCTTCCCCCGGCTCGGCCCCGCAGGGACCCCCAGCTCTGCTCGCTCTGCCAGCAACTTCCTGCTGAGCCGTCACGCCCCTACTGCCCGTCCTGTGGCGCTTACGTGGCTCGGTTCCGGCCAGCCAGCTGATCGGGCCCGAGGTTCACGTAAAGGGGAATGACCAACCCCCCCATCCGACCCCCCACTTTAATTATTGCTACTGCAGATTCCACAGTAGAAGAGTCCAGAAGTGTCATATCCACCGTTACAACAGTGACGTTTCTCCTTTGTGTTTAAAATGTGCCAACATGTGTTTAAACTTTCGTCTTCTCGCTGGTGGATATCTCACTTTAGAATAAAACTCTTTGATTGGCCTCGTGGTCTGCAGGAAACAAACAAAGATCGTCTCGCAGGAATCTGCCACTTTAACGTCTCATCTTCACAGCATCACTCTGCATGTTTGGTTCCCAGCCCGTCTCTCCCGGTCCTCCTCAGTCTGGACGCCCGCCACACAAGATAATCCCACAGACAGAGCTCCTACAAACAGTCTATGAATGTCTGCTGAATTTAAGCACATTTAGATTTCTAATCAAGACAAAGCACCATGATCCCGACCAGGATGGCCAGGAAGACACAAGCTGGCAGGTAGCAGAAGACACTGCTGATGACCTGCTGTCTGTTCAACTGTTCAAAAGCTGAGAAAGAACTGATACATCAATAATCAATAAATGAGTAGGAAACTGTCTTCATCCACTTACTGTCAGATTTTTAAACAACAGAAGCAACAAAACAAACCAGAGCAGCAAATATGTTGTCTGAATGAATATAAAACCCACCCTTGATGGGCTCTATTTTAATAATCAGTTAATTGTTTTAAGTTATTTTTCAAGCAAAAACATTTCTTAGTTCTCACAAGAGAATTGGCTGCTTTTTTTTGTCTTAATGATCGTAAACTGAATCTCTGACTTTTGGACACATTAAGACGTCACCTTCTGTTTCAGAATGTTGTTCCTCGTTTTCATCATCAGTTGATCGTTTAGTTTATAAAATGCCAGAAAGCAATCTGTGTTTTGCAGCGTAATGTGACTGGAGAGTTTCAGTTTGGTTTGTCCTCATCTGTTTAAACATTTAGTCAGCTGAAACATTTCTGCTGAGTCACATCTCACCTGTGGGGATTTCTCTCTGACTCAGTCTCAGAAATCAAAGAGGAATTAGGTTTGACTTGTTGAAACTGTAAATTACTTCCACAGAATAATATTTACTACTTTGCTCTCTCAAAGTTCATACTCATAATTCATTCATAATTTAGTAAAAATCTCCAGAGCACATATTTCCTCTAATGTGATTTAAAATGGCAACATTTTAAAATGGCAACGTTTATTTTGAAAAAAAAATTTTTTATTTAAATATAGCCAGCCATTCCAGGTTCAGCCCTTCAGGGCTTGAGTTATGTTACCGTCAAGACAGAAAATATGATGAGTGCATCAGAACCAAGATACCAACCCAAGTGTTGAACGTTTGTTGATTCTGTGGCAGCAGTTTCTGGATTGTGTAGGGCTGCAACTAACACTTTCATTATTGATTCATCTCAAATTTCTCAATGAATTGGTTTATTGTTAAAAATGGTGAGAGCCTGAGGCGGTTTTATCTGAACTAACAGTCCAAAGCACAAAGATATTCAGTTTACTGTCAGGGAAAACTAGCAAATCTAGACCACTGCAGGAATGAGTCCTAAAACCCAGAACTGAGTTAGCATTTTTGCACTTCTGGTTCCCTCTAACCTTTTTTGGTTAGATTCCTGAAATAAGGTCTGTGGTTAACACAAGCTTCAGAGATTTTTATGTTTTGTTCTCCAATATAAAATACATCAGTAAATACCCCAGCTGTGAACGCTTCTGTGTCCTAAAGGTGGTTGCTAACAGTTGGCTAAATGAGCTACAGAGGTTGTTGACCACTTTAAGTTTAGTGGTGGTGACGTTAAAGTGTGACCATGGTTTGTTTATAGCCTAACGTTGGCTTTTTACTACCGATCGCATTTACACTTCAAAAATCATACAGTGGTATTAATTAACACAGATTATCTTGCTAAACAAAGCATGTCAGAAACCTTTGTTTTCCACAGAGTTTATTTTCTGCAATGATCCAAAATCCAATGGAAAAATCCCACTGGCTTTTTGTAGAAGGAACCAGGACGATGCTAACTGGGTTGGCCTACAAAAATACGTCCTCCCTGCAGCTCTCTATTCACATTTGTGACGCTCAAAGTAACTTTTTGACATTTTTAAATGATTAAGTAATTATAAATAAAATAGTTGCCAATTGGAGTTGCAGATAACTGAGGAGTGGCTTCAGTTTTGGTTTTGAATCTGACAGCAGGTGGGAGAAGAGGCAGTCGGTTTCAGATCCTTCAGTTTGACTGTGGATGTGTGTGTGTGTGTTTGTGATGTTTTGAGTGAACAGACGGCAGCTGAATCTAAACAGGAAATGAAGGACGCCGAGACGCGACAGAGAAGAAGCTTTTCTGCTGTCTCAGACTTTGAATATAAATCTACTCTACTTATTACTCTATTTATTTTTGTAGGCTTGTCAGACTGAGTTGTGCATAGATTAACTAAACTATTCTACCAGAATATACTCTACTATAGACCTGATCTAATTTTCTAAATAGTTAGTCGCCTTGTTTGGGATGTGGAGCCTTCTTATATTGTACACGAGGCAGCGCGTTAGAGTAATAACTAAAGCTTTTATTTTGACAGAGTTGCAGCTAATATTTAGCATGATGTTTTCAGACATATTATAGCCTTGAGACTTTGGTGTACATTTACTGTCATGATGATATATGCAGATCTTTTTTAGTGCACTTCAGAAGTGTTGACGGTAGATTTCTTTTTGTGCTCGTTGCTGATTTCCTTTGACATCTCCTCCGTTGTTCAGGGAGAAGCTTCTCGCTTTTCGACTTTAGATGAGTTTCATAGATTTTGAGGGAACACCTTAAAAACCAGAATGCTGTTTGATAACAGACCTCTCTACTGCCAAGAACCCAGTGCTGACCCCGCCCATCTGGTGCTTCAGGTGAGCTAAAATAAACAAACCCAAGTCTGGTCTAAGGTCAAACATTCATTTTAAATCCTTTCAAGATATTGATCATTATAATAACCAATTTTTCACTTAAGTACTGAAGAGCTAAATAGGAATTGATCATTTCATCTTGATTTATTGATTATCAGCTTTGATGTTGCTCAAACTGAGGCCTCAAAAACCAAAACTCATCTGTTCTTTTCAGAATAAAATCAGAATTAAATTTAAGGCTTAGGTTTGTCTGTTCAGACCAGGCCTGAGTTCATAATAACACAAAGTGTCAATGATTCAAATGAAGAGAAGTTATTTTTTCATCAAGTTGTTTTTTGGCTTTTTGCTTTGCCAGATTTAATTTTGTTGATTTTGGTATATTTTTGATGCTTATTTTTCTACACGGTAGACTTAACAGAGATGATAAGATAATTAAAATGTTTAAAGGAAAACTTCAGTGTGTCTTTCATTTTACTGTAGTCTCTAAATGTGTCAATGTCTGGGATTATTATGTCTCCACCAGAGGGCGCTGACAAGTTGATTTTTACATGCTTAAGTGTCAGTACAGATCCACCTTGAAGTGATACCTATATAAATGTTTGTTTATTTTAAACCAAAAAAATCTTAAATATTGTTATTGGCCTCCAAAATCCAATATCAGTCATGCAAAAGAACCTATATCTGCTGATGAAGATCATGACATATGATCGAAAGCTCCAGAACAGCTACTGAACTGGACTTTGAGGTGAGATTGTCTTAATGCGCAGATCATTTATTTATACTTTATTTTATTTACATTTGAACCTGCATCAGTTAAAAATATCAATAGTTTAAGAATGGGTCAGAAGAGACAGGAATGCATATTAGTAATTCTATAAATGTCTGCAGTCTGCAGTCTCATTGTTTTATTCCCTCGCAGACTTGAACTGATAACGGTGACAAGGAATCAGACGGGGAGGCTGATCTGAATTTGTGTCATGAACATCTGTAATCCTTCAGATATTACAGGGATCAATGAAGTACTCAGATCCTCGAGTTTAACAGGACAAAAAAACCGAAGAAGCCTCGGGAAGAGCCACAAGTGTCAGCAGTGTGCAACAGCTAACGTTAGCTTATAAATGGAGCTTATAACCCACCACAACTCAGTCCAACACTAACGGGAATGGTGGACTCCGCCGCAAACAATGAAAAACCATAAAGAACAGTTATTTGAACATTTTGTTTCCCGTTTATCAGCTAACCAAATTTCAGGGACACAGATCAGGTTAAATGTCGTTCTACTAAACTTGAACTAATATGATGTTTTTTTATGTGTCAAAACCCCCTAAAAAGAATCTGGAACAAATAAATCTACATTTCTCTTTGTTTCTCTGTGTTTGCAGTGTTGTAACATTATACAGTGACTTCTGTACATAAAGACGTTTTATTAAGTTACAAGATGGTAACAGTTTAAGGCTCTTTTCTGGCTTTTATATAAACACATTTATCTCTTTCTTTACACCATTTTCAGTTGTAACACACGGCTCAGCTGTTCCTTTATATAAATATATATTGCTCTGTGTTTTTACGTAATTATATTGATACTTTACGAACATTAGACACAGGTGACTTTACATACAAATATTTACTTAGTGTAAAGTAAAAACATCCCTTCAAAGACACAGATGATGAATTTCAGTTCAGTTTTACAGTTGTACATTGATGTAAAGACACGTTTAACTTTTTTTTTTAAAAAGGCCTCCGCACCTGCAAATGTTTTAACAAAGAAGTTCCTCTCAGACACTATTTTGCGGGGCACTGTCTCTGCACCCAGGGCTTCATGCTGCTCAAGAAGATTGTGATGAAAGAGAGCACATTATGTTTTGGGGGGTTTCCTGTGATTTACTGAGTCTCCAAAGGGAAGTACTGACTGACACGCCTTGTTTGTTTTCAGCTTTTTTTTTTTTACCTTTCTCTGACATCCCAGGGAAGCACAGCACCAACACGCCATGGATTTGCATCTCCATTATACAACAGGGCTGCCCGCTTGAAGGTGTGTCTTTACAGGCAGAGAGAGCAGCGAAGGTCGAGAAACCTCAGTATTGAATCAATAGAGGGAGCGGCGTTAGCGAGAGCAAAGCAGTGAATTAATGAAATAAATAAAATGTTATTGTCTAACTGTTTCATGGTGGTTACGTTCTAAAACACAAATAAACACGGCCACCATCCGGTGGTATGTAGGTACGTAGACTCAAATATTTTGTAATTTAAAACTGTTTTATTATAAAACAGTAAAATCAGAAAATGTTGGGTTTTCATCAGCAGTAACTTTTCATCAGCAGTAACTTAACGACTTCTACAGCTGAAAGCAAACAAGAAACAGTAAAATAAAGCAGATATCTGAAAGAGAGAAACTTAACTTCAAACCACAGAGTTTCATTTAGAAGCTACAAAACTACTGAGAGCTGAACACTTAGTGAATCAACCTCACTGTCCCCAATAGTTGTGTTCTCGCTAAAGCAACTCACATAATAAAAAGATGTGGAAGGTGGAACTGGAATGTGCTTTTTACTATTGAGAAGCAGTTTGTAACAGGAGGAACGCTGGTAACGGTTCAAGCTCCAGGATGTATTGATACCGGCTGTCTGCGACCAGACTTCAAACTTGGAAGCTGAAAGTTTGGCACCGTCTGTTGTTTTACTGTTTATTTTGTCGGAGAGCATGTTGCGCAGGCTGGGGGCGATGTCGGGCTAATGTTCGGCAGGATGCCGGTAACTGTTTTCAATCAGTTCTCTTGGTTTGCCGGTTTTTTAAATTTCCTTCAGGCTTCTAGTTGGTATCCAGATTTTAGACATTTGTTGAGTTCAAACTGTAACAGTTTGTAACATGCAGTGGACAGATTTATCAGAACTGACTAGTGGTTTAAGGGTTGATTGTTTGATTCCCTGATTTGGATTCTGTAAGGTGCTTTGGGATAAAGCCTCCACCAACTGGAATTCAGCAAACATTAAAATCTCTTTTCAAATATGTTTTACAACAAATTCTGACTCTGTGGCTTCAGTGACTCCGCCCCTCCCAATATCTCTGATCAGTGTCTTTCCTCCAGCTGTCAGCTGATCGGTCCACAGCGCCCTCAGGTGGTCCGGTGGAGCAGCAGTACGGTGAACACATTGTTCTCTGACTCCGCCCACGCTCCTCCCTTCAGTTCCAGTCTCACTTCCTCCCCCTCGCTCAGCGGCAGGAGGCCCACGCTGGTGACCGGCCCCACCTCTGTCACCTTCTGTCGGTGTAGAGACACCAGAGTCCCTCCTGACCCAATCCTTAGGGCCACGCGGGTGGGACCTGGCCTCAGGTCTAAGGTGAGGATAAACAGGTAGACCCCGTTCACCGGAGCCGTGAAGGTGCCGGTGTCAGAGTAAAACTGACCCCGGTTCAGAGATGCTGCTAACATGATGGCGCCATTTGAGACGCTCAGAGGAGATCGAGCCACGAGCAGCAGAGACTCTTCTGATAGGCCGGACGGGACAGGAAAGACTCCTGAAGAGAAAAGGAGGGCCAGAAGTTTGTACAAGATAATCTGTTGGACCATAAATAAAAATGACACACAAACACCCTTAAAACAGCGGATTGTCCTTTCTATTCTTCTGTTTTTTTACACATGACAACAAATGTCTCTTCATAGTGGTTTTATATCTCTCTGTGGTCATTAAGAGAGTTTTGTAAATCTAACATGACACTTTTGGGTTTAGGCTGATCCAGTCAGCACTCACCTGAATCCCTCCTGCTTCGATGGCTTCCTCCTCTTCCTGATCCCTCCCTTCCTCCTCCTCCTCCTTTCTTCTTCTCCTTCTTCCCTTCTTTGTTCTTCACTAGCTGCCACAGTTTATCTAACTCCAGCGTGGCGTCAGATCCCGCCAGCACATCAGCGTTACTGAAGACGTTCTTGAACACCCTCAGATGTTCCTCCAGCCCTCTCTTCAGCCACATCACCTCCTTCAGCAGGTCGGCCTCCACATCACTGGGTGGCGCCTCTCTGGCAGTAGAAGTGTTACAGGCTTTCTCCTCTAACCGGAGCACCTTCAGCCCCAGCTCCTCCACTGTTTTCTCCAGGTTCCACAGATCGCTGCCATCTCCTTTGTGTTCCAGATGCCTCCCCTCTGTCTGGAGGAGGAGCTGGCGCTCCCTGGCTGGAACTCCACCGCTGTTTCTTTTCATGCTACCAGGGAGCCAGTCATCATGGAGTAGGTGGGAGGAGGAGGGCTGGTCAGCAGACGGTACCTCCTCTCTGCCTCCTGGAAGGAGTCAAAAATGTGTCATAGTGTAAGTATAATGGAATAATCTTCACAACATCCCTCATTTACTGTCTCCTCGCTGCTGTTTCAGTAAGAGCAAGCTGTTTTATTGGTGCATAAAACAAGCAAACCTCAGGAAGTGTTTGTTTGCATCAAAACTTACTAAATGTCGAAAAGTTTTATGCGTGTTTTGTGACCAGTGTGTAGGACAGTGGTTCCCAACCTTTTTCCTTAAGAGACCCCTTTTCTATCATTGAGTAAACTAACTAACTAACTGACTGACATATTTGACATTAATCATGTCATATGGAAGTCTGTCATTCACATAGTTTAGGAATGACATACAAAGACGGAACTGTTGGAAGCTGCAGGTTTATTTCTGCAATCAACTTTTTAAGGACAGATTCAGTTTTTTAATGGCACAGAGGAAATGGAGCATTAATTTGGATCATGTTTGCTTTTATTAAACTCCAATTAAAAATCTTGCTTTTTGACTACTGACTCTTAAGTCTGGTAATACGGCAGCAAATACAGATGCATATATGTGGGGCGTATTGGTCGGCTGTGGCTCAGGGGCAGTGCGGGTTGTCCACTAATCGGAAGGCGGAAACCTAACTCATTCCATGACACAGAACCACACACCTTCACAGCACCCAATTATAGCCTATGCCACAGCCACAACATACCAGACCACTCCTACCTCCCACCTCCACCCGCCCAACCGCATCACAACTCCCTCCCCCAACACACCAGCAACCTGACCGCACACCTCGGTACCAATTCAGGGTCTCCAGTATCTTGCTCGAAGAATACTCTTGTGACACGCCTGGCAGGCAAGGCAGCCCGGGAGTCGAAACCGACAACCT